GTCGTCGAACGTGCATGGTTGCATGTTCCACGTGTGCCAGTCAATATCGAGGAGGGTACAGAAGTTAGGATTAAAAGCGCTCTTCCAAGGGGATGTGGATCGCTTTCTGATCCAGGTGAGCGAGCTTACCACTTTTTTTCGTTTTTTCGTTTTGAAGAACTGCGAGAGGCGAACATGTGCCTGAAACCACTCGTCTCGCGAGACAAAACTACGATGGGAAATGGGGAAAGAAAGCCGGGGCAATAAAAACTTCCAGGTTTTGTTTTTGCGAAAAATTGCACGCTATCTATGTTTGAACTGGAATAAATAACAAATTCTTTTCTATATGACAAAAAAAAGTGTCTTCCTGTTTTTTAAGGCAGCCGGAAGGGGCGGTATTGAACGTCATATTGTGTTATTCTCAATCGTTTGATCGGTATGACTTGGCCAATTAACATCTCGTTTTTTTTTTTTTTTCATCTTTTGGCATTTTGATTTTTCGGCGTTTTCTTTTCTCGGATTTTAATTTTGCCGTGTTTAGACTTCCGGCATTTCCCTGATTCGACATTTAAATTTTTCGGCATTTTGAATCGCTGCTCTATTTGGAGAATTCCGATGTTTTAATGTCATATATGTCAGGGGTCGGCCTGCATGCTTTGAAATGACGGAGCTCGGTACACTTTAGTGCAAAAGACTGACTCCTGCGACTTTTGCGTAATGTGCCAGTATCTCGGCCATGTTAGAACCCATACCTAAAAGCTGTCCTGCGCTCCTCACAACCAGCTGCATTCTTGACCTTGCTCCCTTTCTCTCGCGCTACAGCCACTGATAAGATGAGGGCAGAGGAGAATTCGGCCATTTGTCCCACCTCCAGCGCAATTGCTTCCTTCCTTCGTTAAAGCTTTGGAGTCTGGTAAGATCTGAGCATGACCGAGCAGCCAAACCACAAAGGCGATCGACAAGCTTGTAATAGACGCGGCGCTTAAAAAAAAAAAAAAGCGTACTCTGCCTTTTGTTTTTGAAAACTAAAGCTAAACTCCTACAGCTGTATCCACGGGCTAACTCACTAGCGCTTTTTTAAAGGTAGTCACAGTTGTATACATTTGGAGAAAGGAAAGATACTTTCATAAGCCTCTGTGCATTAAAGTCTGCACTTTTACTCAACTTTCTCTTGACGTCGCGAGGAAAGCAAAGAATCATCGACTAAGCAGCGATTAGACCCTGCTGTTTTCACGAACAAGAAGTAGGCAAAGTGATTGCCAAGTTATGAGTGATATGCGGAAGATACATCACACGACAGGCCACACATGCGCGTACTAAACGTCACTATGTGAATAGCGGTTTCCTCTTCTAAAACCACATATTTAAATATATAATATTACAAGTAAAATGTTATATTTAAGGACAAATTGTCAAAAAAAAATTAAGGAAGAAAATAGAAAAGCCGCATTGCCCGCGGCATGAAGAAATATGAAAGAGCCAGCAAATGCGAGCTCCCTCGTTGTCTAGTCCCTTGCTTAGATCGATTTAGCAATATCCTCTGTCATCTGAACAAGTATATTTCAACATATTCTACTCCGATTCTTTCTTGATGTGTACCCCAGCGCTCCAAGACACTATAGTTAGTGAAAGGTTACATATTCAGTGGAAGCTCCTCTTCTCCGGCATTCGCTCAGCTGAAGGGGAAAGGGTGCCAGGAGTTTTCCCTGCACTTTTAACCCGTCACCGACTATGATTGTTTAGTTAGCGCTGGCGCTAAGAATTAACGTTTAACGGGTGACTAGCGCTAAGTAGAGATGTAAGCAATTAAAAAAAAACATAAAAAGATATATGAAAAAAGTTTTCTTTTTGTTTTGTTTTTTAACCAGAATAAAATTGAAAAAAAACAAAAAAACAAAAAGCTGAGCTCACAAATTGTGAAACGCTGCCGCGCGCCGCCGGAGGGGATGTGGCGCCATCTGGCTGTGTAGCAAGAAACCCAGCATCGCTTCGCCACTGCGACGGAGCTTGGCGAAGAAGGCGGCGATAAATTCGGCGGCCGTCATTGACCAACGCTGCATTTGATCTCGGCGTTTGCCAATCGTAGCCTTCGGATTTCCCGCCAACTTCTTCGCCAAGTGTCCACACCAGGGGCCCTAACCTGGACACTTGGCGAAGAACTCGGCGAGAAATTCCGCGGCTCTGATTGGCCGGCGCCAAGGTCAAGTGCGGCGTTGGCCAATCACGCCCGCTAGATTTCTCGCCGAGTTTCTCGCCAAGTGTCAGATTAGGGCCCCAGATCTCGGAAGCAGTGCCCGTCCAAGGAAGAATACAGCAGCAGTACTTCACCGTCCGCTATGGTACGTCCCCGGTCAAACGTTTGGAAATATTTTAACGTGTGTGACTCGCTCGCGGGGAAAAAGGTGCAAGCATTCTGCAAGTACTGCGATGTGTCGCATGGTTTCCCCAACGCTACACGCCTTACGAAACATCTGTTGTCCTGCAAAAAGTGACCACAAGAGGTGAAGGAGCTGTACGACATTCCATTCGAAAGAAAAGAATCTAGGAGCTCGTCGGAGGCCTCACCATGTGAGTACTAAAGCACCGGTACCTCAGTGGAAAAATCTCAGTTAAAAAATCCGCGAGTCTTTCCCTTTGTAGACAGAATGACACCTCAGATGCAACAGAAAATTGATGAAGCTTTGGCTAGGGCTGTGTATGCGACGAACACGCCACTGTTTTTAGCGGAAAACGAGCACTGGCTCGCTGCTTTCAAGAAGCTTCGGCCTTCATACAATCCACCCAGCCGTTGCGTTTCGAGCGGCCGCCTGCTTGACGCTGAGTATGAGCGTGCAAGAACAGACGTGCGGGAGACTCTGATGAACGCGACGTGCCTTACTGTGCTCACAGATGGGTGGACCAACATCCGCGGAGTGTAAAATGTGAAGCTTGGCGTCGCTACACCGAAAATTGTGTTCTACAAATCGGTCCAAACTGGCACTAACCGGAACATTGCGGCGTTTTTAAGCAAGCTGATATCCAACGTCTTTCACTCTCTGCAACCCCACAAGGTAGTTGCCCTAGTCGCCAACAATGCGAATAATATGCAAGCAGCATGCCAGAAAGTTGTTCATAAATTTCCACACATTGCAACTATTGTATGTGCAGCCCATGAACTAAACCTGCTCCTCAACGATATCATTCGCCTGAAAGTTTTGGAAGAAAATTATGAGACATCCAGGAAAACATTCAAATATGTGAAACAAACTCCGGCAGTTGCTGCTGCGCTCCAGCAAAAATAGCAGTCAAGATACGGCAAAGGAAATTTTACAACGCTCAAATTGGCTAGCAAGACAAGATGGGGCGGCGCCACCCTCTCGTAGCAAAGCCTTCTCAATAACGAGGAAGCACTGCAAGCGACTGTAATCATGAAAGATATCGGGGCGACCACCAGGACATCTCGGATGAGAATGTGTCTGGAAAGACCATCGCAGCTACTTGGACATGCTGACTAGGCCTTGTTATCGGAGGTCTTGGAAATCTTTCATTTCATCAACGGAGAGATCACAGCGAGGCTGGAAGCCAGCGCCTTGACGCAAGAACAGCCTCACATAATGCGTCTAATCAGGGGGCGCGAGGAGTTTCGTGTGCGACCCGTTCACATCGCTGCTAATCTCCTAGACCCAAGGTACCGTGGCAAGAACCTTGGCGACGGGCAGATTGTTCTCACGTTTGACTGGATTTCCCAACAAGCAGACCATCTCTCTCTGGACGTCGAGAAACATCTGTCTAACGTCGCTGAATACAGGACCTGCAAGGGAATTTGGTCAAAAGAAGGAGTTTGGGAGTCTGCGAAGCACCTGGATCCATCTAAGTGGTGGCAAGGACTTTGCTTCAACTAACCCTTGAGTGTGTTCGCCTCTCGCGTACTGCAGATTCCCCGTCTTCTGCGGCTTGTGAAAGTAACTGGTCAAAGATTGGAAATGTGCGCACCAAGCTACACAACAGGCTCGCAGAAGATCGCATGCAAAAACTTCTGTACGTGCACTCCAACCTGAATGATTGAAGGCTTCATCCTCTGCACAGCAAAGCATTGACGTGTCATGCGGAAATGAATCGGAATTATCGGACACAGTTTGATATAACTGTCAGTCTTGATGCTTTCGTGTGAAATCGATGCCTTGACTTGAAATCATTACCAAATTTTGAAACCGGCGGAAGCTCTGCTGGAGTCTAGAACTTTTGTAGTGCAGTAATGTAACAGTTAAATTTGTTTCAGTGCTAGCGAAGTAAATGTGTCGGGTTTTTCATAGCTCTGTGCGTAACCGTCTTTTTCTCAATTTTTTCGTATTTTTCTGAAAAGAAAACATAAAAAAACTTGTTTTCTTTTTTCACGCCTTTCAAAATTTTATGAAATTTGACAACTCTAGCGCTGAGCCGCTAGTCTCCTGCTAAACACTGGCTAAACTAGCCGTCCCCTGGCTAGTTTCTAAGTCTACTTCTAAGTCGCTCGGGGCGACAACATGGTCGGTGAACACCGAGTGCTTACTTAGCTGTGATTACCATCTGCCACGTGATTATTTTAATCGATGACGTAGACAGTCGGCGGTTGAACAGGCGCTCCAAGTCTGGTTAATACGTCTGCTAAAATTTCGGCACGAACACTCTAACTCTTTGTCATCTACGGTCGTTTCCGTTTACTTTCTGTATGATTTCGCAATGGTGTTTTGTTGAAGGAGATGAAAATATAAATATGCCTTATGTTCACAACGTGAATGCTTCGCTGTGTATGCAGTCGAACGTTACACCCAAAAGCCGGTGTGCAATCACGTCTTGCCGCCAAGTAATACGGGGCCGCCGGAGTAGGCCGGCGAAAAATGATATAAACTGCTGCGTGTATATTCGTCAATTTGTTTGAACTCGTGCTTGAGACATCGGAGTGTTACTTTCTTCATGGAGGGCACTGATGCTTCAACGCTAATGTCGTGAACCGACATAGAGCGTTTCTGAGTGTAAAGTGCAGGAAGTTATAACTTGCTTACAATCCGGGCTGTCACCCCAGGCAAAGGTGAGTGGATTGTTACTCTGGTTGCTGTTGTGCAGTCGAAGGTGCACGTAATCCGTGCACAGAACTGGCAACTTCGGTGGATACTTGAGGCAATCGTACGAGCAGATGAGTGTGAAGTTACCTGGAAAATGCACAAAATATCTTAGGATTTCAGCGAAAGATAGCCTCGAACAAAAACAGGCTGCTCACTTTAGGTATACGACTTTTCTGCGTTATTTTAGCATTGCCGACTTGCCGAGTCGCATTAATGGTGTCCCTTAATCCGGAAAAGTGCTCGAATACCCGCGCTCAAAACGCGTCCCGCACCCCGTTCGACAAAGTTGACAAAGCGCTGAAGACGATTATGTGAATGGTTTATTTTTTCCTGCCTTTAAAATATCCAAAGTGGAAAGAAAATATCTTAATTTTTTTTTCAGCCTTTGTAGAGTTAATTCTAGGGCAGATGCCCCATGTGAATGTCGCTTGAATTTCTTGGTGCGACATCTACGTCTGTGCGGGCAACGTTTAGCTTTGTTTATATTGGCGAAATTATCGTTAACCTTCATATGCGCAAGGAAGCCGATTTCTTGGCTCACACCGGCGCCAAAATGAGATCCGGGTGCGGGGCGGTAATTATTGCGACTATTCGGCTGCTTATTGCCGTATTGGTCAATTGCAGAAGTAACATAATAAGCAGAATTAACCTTTAATCGTGTAAAGCTCGAGGCAAGCGAGCTATTTGCGATGGGGAGGTCGTTCAATATTCATGGTGCATGCCTGCGCCACCGTGAGTCAGGCTTGTTTCGACGGTATCGGGGCAGCGGTACGTTTCGCTTGGAAGTTTAACGCTGATGTGCACATTTGCGTTTGTAGACGATGTGCTTGAAAGCAATAAGGAACGTTGCAAACAGGTTGTACCAAGAGCGTGCGCACAAGTTGCATTAAGACGAAGTCGACAGAAGTCCATAGCCGACAAGAACTTGCTATCGTCGCTTGCGGCTCGCCAACGGTAAGTCATATGGACGACAACGTCGCGGCGCCTCGCGACTGCGTCGAGGTGGCCGATGTCAATCCCGCTGGCGTCCTCGGATTCTGTCTTGCTTGAGCCATCGCAGACTTGGAAAAACCTTGGAATACATTTTAGCGCTCAAACACAAGGACAAAAAGGCGAGAATCAGACACCACAGTGCGCACTGTGCTGTCTGATTCTTGCCTTTTTGTTCTTGTTTTTCAGCGCTAAAATGTATTCCAAGTTCCAAAAATCAACTAGCCCAACAATCTGCTCTATCGGAGAAATTGGCTGCTTCAGTGTCCCGATTAATCGCCCCCAACATACAACAGCAAGCTCCCGTCTCCACACAGGGGAACTTGGTGCATGTCGCAGACGGGTGTGGGCAAGCACGTGACCCTCCTTTTCTTTTCTCGGCTCCTGATTGGTCTGATGCAACGCTGCGTAAGCAAAGACGTGCGGCGCGCTGCTGCGAGCTGTGCGAGGGAGCGCGGCGTAGCGCAAGCAGCCGCTTCCTGCCGAATGGACACACACACAACAGCCTTCAAACATAATTTTGTGTATGAGCAAACGCGCAAAGACAACAGGCGCCACGATGAAGCGCTTTTGGCTCAGCTGAAATGGCTCCATCGGGTCTCTGTGTCATCAGCTGTCGGACTAATTGTGAAGCTGAGCGATGCTTAACATGCAGACGTCTTGCACTTCTTTTGCTGTCACTGATTTTATGAAAATGAGCTCCAGCAGTACAAAAATTTTGCGAAGATTTTTGTTTTAATTACTGACACAGCGAATTAGTTATACTACAGTTAAAAGTGGCTTAAGTTACAGATAATGAATGATATTTATAACTTTCTTAATAATCTGAAAAACACTCACACATGCACAACGTGCGATTCACCGGAATGTGCTCGAAATACCTCTTTAGTTTGCAGGGCGTTACAAGGACACTGAGTTTTTCGCACCTCGAAAAATTCACTCAGCGCCGAAAGCTCGTGTTCCGATAGAATGCGGCGCAAGCTGCTGAGATGATACACCGGTGTAAGCCGACTAGTAACGGTATATGGATAAAAAGCTGCAGAAAAATGAACAAAGATTTAGAGCGCAGCTCTTATGCGCCCGTTTCCGATTTGAGCGGCGTCGCCTTCGTCGTCGGTGTACCTTCGCGCTGCACTATGGGGAATTTCCCATTGTGCTTTCACACCTGACGTCACGAGGGACACGAGTAACGTGACCCTCGTGGCGGAGGAGCAGTTAGGTGGAGAGGAGGTAGGTGAGGGAGGGGAAGGAGCGGAAGAAAGGAGGGGGAGGGGAAGAGGGGAGGAGGAGGAGGGAAGAGGAGGAAGGAGGAGGGAGGCAGATGAGGAGGGGAAATGCCAGCTACCCGTTGCGCAAGCAAGTGATATCACCATTCATAAATCACAGGGAGGCACGTACGAAAACGTGGGGTACTCGTTATCCAAGTGGCCATCTACATGGGTACGGGTCTGTGCTGTGCCCATCGATCTCCGTGGCACGTCAGACGAAGCTGGTAAATTGTGTGCCGCCAAGGTCGACAACGCCTTGCTAGTGGTAGCTCTGTATCTCTCGCCTACAGCACTCACCAAATATTTTGCACAAGACAAAGAAGGACTTCATCCCAGTCATGGAGGAAAACATCCCATTGGACCCCAGGGACATGCACTCGTTGTTCTGCGGTGCTATCTCGGGGAAGCACGCTCAAGATTAATGCTGAGGAAATCAAAAACGACGAGCAGACTTCGACAGAGGCGAGAGCAAATAGGATGAGATCGAAAGTAACACGTGCTGCGTCAAAGTGTTCACTTTAATGCTGTCGCGTTCTCCCACCTTGCTCCTGCTGTCCTGTTCCCTGGTACCGGCAGAACTTAAAGTGAAGCTTTCAGATGTGCTAACTATATGTCCTTTCTCCGCACAAGCAGTGAGCGAGAATTCAATGTGTATGTATATGTATATATGGTGGACAAATTCCATATTGCGAAACCTACGCGTGTCAACAGAAAAAGGCTTGCGTCGTTTCGGTCCCGCGCCAGGGGCCCAATTAGGAAAATTATTTAAGTCCGCGATAATTAAATTGTAAATTGCTTTTGCGTAATTAACTTTTTCATATTTTTAAGGGCATGGTTTCAAAAAGAAAATTGGTGAGCATCATCGAAAAACACTAAATCAACAAATCGCAGAACGATAGAAGGCACGCGGAGCATTTCACGGCTTTGTGAAAAACCGCACAAATTCAACGGCTTTTTAAGTTTCGGTTTGCAATCGGAGCGCGTCTCGGTTCCGGCGGCACCGCGCCCCATGCGAAATCAAGCAACCAACCTTTGCGGCGCTCTCCTCGCGCAACTCCCAGCCGAGGCTGGTTCGATATTTCTGCACGGAACGCGCTGCCTTCGGGGCCGAGATGCGCTCCGATATCAAACTTTTTCAGAAAGCCCTAAAATACTCCGCGTACGTTCTATCGATCGGCGATTTGTTGATTTAGAGTTTTTCGATGATGCTCAGCTACATTAAAAAAGTTAATTACGCAGAAATAATTAACGATCTAATTATCCCGCACTTTAATAGTTTTTCTGAATAGGCTCCTGGCCCAGGACCAAAACGACACAAGCCTTTTTCTTGTTGTTGTTGCGACGGGTAGTTTTCGCAGTATTGAGCTTGTCCACTTTTCGTGAGACACCCTGTATAATATATATATATATATATATATATATATATATATATATATATATATATATATATATATATATATATATATATATATATATATATATATGGGTGTTTTCATCTCAAATCGGGCAGGCTTTAAGGGTTTAATTTTTAATTTTGACGAAAAAAATATATGATTTGGGGGCATTTCTCTAATGAAGGAGGGCGCACACCGCATGTTCCAAGATTTTTTGTTCTCGAGTTACGAAGCGCAGAAGCCGCATTGGCAGAAACCAGTGTTTTTGCCTGCCGTCGCCGGTCGCGTGTTTGACACCCTCTGCTACCGCTAGTGTTTTTCCTACACCCTTTTCATTTTTTCCCTCAGTTAAAAAATACTATCAAAATACCTTGATGTATTTAAATATTTTTAGAAACTTGATTGTTTTCTAAAAAAAGATGTCAAACGCGTCACTCAGGTCGATATTTGGTCAAATATGACAGGTCATTACTTTGTCTGTACTTAAGGTAAAAGTTTTTTCTTTGGCTCTATAGAAAGCCCAGAGCAAGCCGATTATAGATACAATAATATCATTATCATCTGTTAACTAGCCGTTCCGCTACCTTCACGTAAGCGTGGTAAGAAATAACAAATGTTGCAAGTTTAAAATCGATTTTCTCAAAAAACCCATCTTTGTAAATTTAATTTATTTTAAATTCTTTTAATATACAAGTCGATTACAAGAAAAAAAATGTATAAATGTAATATTTTAGTTGTATGTTCTATTTGAGCCGCTATCGCGTGAAATATGAGCTCATTTGACTAAAATGGGCACACATTTCACGCGATTGCGGCTCAAATAGACGGCATACAACCTAAATATTATATTTCTAGATTTTTTTTTATCTTGTAGTAAACTATTATATCTAAAAGAACTTAAAAAACAAAAATTTCCAAAAATGGGGTTGTCAAGAAAATCGATCTTAAACTTTCAGAAACAAACCTCAAACCGACAATCTGCGCCTCTACGATTTGGAATTTTTTTTTTTTTTTTAAATTTTTGTTTATGTTTTTAAAAAGAAACGTAAAGTAGGCGAACTTATGACATTGTCACGAATGACGATGTGACAAACAAGGAATAACTGAAGAAACTGAAACACTTAATGGGATGAACTTGTGCCCAAAATAAAAAGGAAACAGAAGATAACAGTAGAGCGTCACGGGCGTCGAAGTCGGCGTAAAAGCAGAGATGAACGCTGGGGCGAACTTCACAGGGCACGTCTCACCATGATTCCGACGCGGGCAGTGCATCTCCCGACTGGTGTAATGAGGTGTCCTCCGGCGGTTCTTATCTGTGGTCCATCCCACGGCGTCATGACTTTTCCAAGGCGGCGGGAGAGCCTCCCACTCAAGACT